CCACACTGATGAGGCCCATAAGGCCGAAACGGTACTGTCTGTAGTGTATGTATATATATATATATATATATATATATATATATATATATATATATATATATATATATATATATATATATATATATATATATATATATATACATATATGTATAGTAGGAATTTAATAACTAATGGTCTAGTAAATGTTATACTTTAAAATGGTTCATGTCATTTAGAATGTCAATATAAAAAGTTCTCAAAGATGATGTAAAAATGTTTATACTTTTAATGGACTTCAGTGCATTTGGCAGGCTGTTCCATACTGATCTTGAGACTTGACATTCTGACTGAGAATGCGAGGGATTGGGAGATTATACTCATTTAAGCGCGCGTTACGCAACATATACAGAAAGATTTCCCCTTATAAAAATAAATATAATGAACATCCCAGGCGAAGCCGAAGGAAAATCCTATACGAACTTATAGTTACAGTGTCTTGAATTTCAGTCAGACACATAGAGTAATTTGATTCATGCATGAAAAGCAGTTCGATTTTGTACCTTGTTACACTCAATAATTAATATGTTATTATAAAACTTCCATAATCTGCGGAAGGGCGTAAAAATTAAAACACTACATGACCTTCTTTAGTTAATGACATTGCACTTGTAATTAAATTTTTTTGCGATATATATTAATAATTTACGCAACAACATAAATAAACGCGATGTATTACTGAATAGACTTGAAACAGGGCATTTGATTAGATTTAAATGATCGTTAAAGCTCAAGCAACCAAATTTCACACAATTTTTAATTTTAAGTTTCAAAGTGGCCAGTGAGATACTTTGACGATCTATTAGTGATTAATTTAACTCGTTTCTTTTTTTCTTGAGCATGTACAGGACGCGGCAACGCGGCGACGACGGCCAAACCAAATTCCTTCAAATAAATGATAGTAAAGAAAACTTGTCGTATATTATAATTCGTATGAATTTAAAACAGTATAAGAAGTTGGAAACTTTGTCTTTATGTTTGGGAAGAGTTCTCAGTACTGAACCGAATTTTAAGTTGCCCTTGTTACAGCTTGAAATGCAGGCGTTGTATAAACTAGGGATCCAAGGATAGTGTGAAGTTTCAAATTGAAAAAGACACTGCAAGAACTATATAGGTTCGCCGACAACCTAGAAAAGCTGATGGCTTACACTACGAAATAAACAATTACCAAATGCATTTCATCTCATGCGCTCGGCGCACGACGTTTGAAACAAGCCTGACACATCAGAAACGTGCCTTGTGAAACTGACACAATTTATCTATTTATTGTGATGCTACACGCATGCTAAATTTCAATTGTTTCACCAACAACCAAATTTTGCATATTCTAAATTTCATTTGCATTTGTATTTGCAGCTGTCGCTAAAAGCATCCCCACGAGGCTACTGCTATGCTAAACTTATCTAAAACTATAATTGAAATAGCTGTATAAATATGTTATGAATAATAAGCACTACGTCGTTATATCATTGAAAGGAAGCACTTTATCTTCATCCGTTCCGTATTTTATCCGCATATCCGTTCCGTGGATCCGCTCCATCCGCTTCCGCATTTTAACCTAATTGTGACATGTTTCACAATAACAAGTCTCATTGACCTTTGACTTTTCGAAGGTCACGTTGTGTCTATTTTCAGCTTTTCGCATGTGTTGAATAATGTTACTTTAGATTTCAATAGTTTCACAGTTATAGCTGCAGTGTTTAAAGCAGTTTTGACAAGCTTTGATACAGTTCTGTGTACAGAATACTACAGATTGATTCTCGTAAGATCTGGTAGAGTTATCGTTGCACTGAAAACGAGTTTGCACCGTTGACAACGGCGTTGTGCTAGACAGTAAGCAAGGTCCGTGACAGTACATGTTGGCTACATGTACCTCCTTGCTTTTTTCTTCCATTGCATAAATCTTGTTGGCGAGCCAAGCGATTGGCGATAACACGTTGGCGATAACACATTGGCTATCTCCTCGTCTTTCTTATTTAAATAAGGGGCTCTGACTCAACTGATTTCTTTCGTCTCGCAATATTTTCTTCGTAAACGCCTGTACAAACACCCGCTTCTGTTTAATAGTTGTTTACGCTTTATTGATCTGATGCAGATCTGATGCAATTTTTCGCTCTTTGTACTGAGTTCTGTGATGTAGCACCTTATACAGTCAATGACAATGTATAATGAATACACGGTCTAAATAATATCGATTGGCACTTAATTGAATGCCGGTAATTATAACATCAATTTATATATTATATTATTGCGTAGAATCTCAAAGATTTTCTCAATATTCATGTCTGAAATGTTTATATACTTGAAAACAACACTGTCTCGCTTCTTCGTACGTACTGTACCTCCGTATAATGAGTATACCGTGAAAATAATATCAGCACTCAATTGAATGCCTAGAATCTCAAAGATTTTCGACTCAATATTTAATACGTCTGAAATGTTTATACACTTGAGTGTTGACTGCACTGTCTAGGCGGTCTAGCTCCTTCCTAGCTCTGTATAATGAATATACCGTCTAAATATTATCGACACTTAATTGAACGCCCGTAATGCATAAGATCAATTTATATATTGCGTAGATTTTCAAAAATTTACTCAATATGCACGTCTGAAATGTTTATACATCTGAAAACAACACTGTCACTCCTTCCTAGCATATCGTCACGCCATCGTGATCTACGGCTTGATAGCGCATGCGCATTTGCGCTACTAAAAAAAATCGGGTGTTCCGGGGTAAAGATCCTTTACACAACATGAGAAGCGAATGTTCTAAAATTTACAAAAAAACACAATAACAAAAGCGATTCCTCGAAATTTTTGTGAACTTGGCAAAAGGATAACAGAATATGTAAATAAGTTAACTGAAATTGCTTAAATAACCTTCAAAGTACTGACAAAGCACAATAAATCACCACGAACATAAATCGTATACACCCCCCCGGAAAGTTTACTGTATGACTGACTGACTGAATGACTGACTGACTGAATGACTGACTGACTGACTGACTGATAAGTTTGAATTTCCTCCCAGTCATCACAATACTGTGAAGTTTCGAAGAAACTTCACACTAAAAACGTGAAAATCTGTGATTTGCCGTTGTAAACAGAGCGAAGACTACGTCTGAAACTCCCCTGGGACTTTAATTATTTATTTCTTTTCATTGACTGATTGTATTGGTTGCCGTCGCCGTCGTGTTGCCGTCCTACATGCTTAACCTCCCTATAAGATATAGTGTTTTAATTTTTACGTTCTTCCGCAGATTATGGGAGTTTTCTAATAACATATTAATTATTGAGTGTAATAAAGTACAAAATCAAACTGCTCTTCAAGAATCAAATTACTCTCCGTCGGACTGAAATTCAAGGCACTGCAACTATAAGTTCGTATAGGATTTTCCTTCGGTTTGTATATATCGTATATATCGTATCGAGTTTGGAATCATATATGAGTAGAGTGATTAATACCGTAGTAGAGC